ACAAAGGTTGGTAATGTGAATTCATTAGGAAGATTTGTAATACCTCGCAATAAAAAAAACAATTATGATGCATGGTTGAGTGCACTATTCAATAATCTGACAACATGAATATATGATAATTACAAATTGGATAAAGCTACTAACACATATGTAAGGCGATTCATTCCAGAAAGCTCAGGTAATGGACCACTCAAGTTATTGTTGCTAAGTACCTGAAAACATAAGCCATCAGCCCATCAGTGTAGGACTTGGACAGACAAGAGTAAAATTGACATCCACTCTATGGCTTACTGTAAAGTGGGAGAGAATTATAGGTTGTTTTACTTACAGCTCACCCACGTTTATGAGGTCATTTAGATTCTGGGGAACCATGCCACTAAGGGAGTTCCTGTCCAAGTGTCTGCAGTCAGTGTAAGAGGGTCAGTGGTTAAACTAAAATTCATTTCATCACAATATAATTCAAAGGTATACTCACATGACCTCTAGAGCCAGCACAAGCCCTAGTGTTTTTGGGATAGTTCCTTCTATCTGGTTGTCATTCAAAATTCTGTAAAAATGAATATAGTAGAACATCAATTTTGCATATATCAATTCATGGTAGGAAAAAAAAAATTACAAAAGTAGGTTCATACAAACTAGCTGAATTAGTTTTATAGTTTTAGCACAGAAAGCAAGGTTAATGTAGATCATATTTCAAACATGTGCAGTTTGTCTAATTTAACTCAACTAATCATTAATCCTTAGTTAAAAATAAAATTAAAAAAAAAAAGAAGTAGAAATAGCTTGTAATAATCCTTAAACCTAGAGCAACAGAGATAGAAATAATAGGGAAGACGGAGGCTGTAATGTAAACTAAATTTGACGAAAGTTTACTGTCATTGGTTATGGATTTTGCTGAAGGCCAGTGGAGGCCTTTCATAACTTTGGAGTTTATCATGTGCCAGAGTACGATATGCTTTTAGATAGTTACTTTGTTTAAACTATTCTACAGAGTACAATTTTCAATATATATGCCAGAAATGAAAAATGACAAGTGAAGCCACCGCACAAGACAAAAAGGTGGGCTACTTTTTCAGTCAAACTGATGCAATCTATTTATGAATGTATCTCATCAGTCTACAGCAACTTGAAAAATCTTACAGATGCCTAAGAGCCATATCTGAGCGGAAAAATCCAAGAGGAATTTCACCAGAGAACTTATTCTCCCCAAGATGACTGCATTCAGATCAAAATACTGTTAGATTTACCATCAATACATAGTAAGGAAAAGAAGCATCAGAAAATCTGCATCAAAGACTTGTACAAGTGCTCGGCCTTTAACAAGTTATCCAGGCCAGGCGTAGTCTTGTTGGAAACTGGTAGGTTTCCATCCAGCTGGTTGCCAGTTAGATCAAGCCAAACAAGTTTGTCAAGATTACTGATGGAATGTGGTATTGGTCCACTGAAGTGATTGGAATTGAGAAACCTAATGAAGATCAAACAAATTCGAATCAGAAGCAGATGAAATATTAATGAATTGACCAACAAGGACTTCACATAGATTTTGGTATTCAGCAATGAAGAAAGGCAATAGCCAACATATGGAGCATGAAGCTGTATTCCACTGAGGCAACAACAATTTAAAGAGAAATGATAGACATCATCCTCAATTAAACTTGAAAGGAGAGGTGAGCTAATTTTCTTACCAAATTGGGGGAGAAGGAAGGGGTGAGGGGAACAATACAGACAACAGAGAAAAGCCTTACAAACGCTGGAGATGTAGGAGGGATCCAATTGATTCAGGAATTGGGCCAGATAAATTACAGCCTGAAAGAACACTACATCAAGAAAACACAGCAAGGTTGATCACTTCAGATGTTAGCAAGCTGGTTTTTACAATGTTTATAGAAGAAATTGCTTACAGCCGTTCTAAATTCTTCAGACTGCCAATATTTGATGGAAGTAGGCCAATCAGACCTCTGTTGTCAGATAGATCTCTACATACAGAAAATAAAGAGTAAACTTTAACACGGTACAGAACTATAAGCACTACAGAAGAAATCCAAGTTGTGTGTAAGTGTGTTGCAGCACCAAGTGTCTTTGGGGTGTTGAGCACACTATCATTTTGATTAAGCAAATAACAAAAAAAGCACTAAAGTTTGCTAGATAGTAGATGGTAAACTGAAGTTTTAGACAGTAGGTGGTAGATGGTAAATGTTGTTCACTGCTATCCTAACCTACACTATCTAAAGCCAAAAACTCCCCTTTCTCATTAAAAAAACAATGTTGCATTTGCCAAGTAGTCATCTGCCTAGGTGCTCTATAAATTGGTTATACTAGAATATGATGTGTTTCTGGAAAATCAAGACATGCCGAATAATAGCAATATCAACATTATATAAATACAACTTACAGTCTCTGCAGCTCAGACAATGAAACAATTTCTTCAGGCAAAGGACCAGTCAGATTTGTACCTGATAATAAGCTGCAATATTAAATTTAATAGCTCAGTTGACAAAGCTAGTGTTCATCAAGAAATTGACAAAAAATGACCGATTGAAAGTTGTAAAAAAACACTTTCTCAGCAGACTAACATAGCAATCACACGCGAACCATTGCAAAAAATACCATCCCATTTTTTACCACATGGATCATGCCCGACCCAGTTGGGAGGCATATTTTTCCATTGTGTCTTGAGATTCTCCAACACAGCCACTGCATCAGTACATTTCATGAAGTCAGAAATAGAATTCGACAAGAGCCACGTTTCAAACATGAAAGCTATGGAAACATCACTTTAAACTACTACTTGTGAAAGAAAACAGAAAATCTTGAGCATAGACATGCACACGGTCCAACCGATATAGAGGATCATCACGTAAAAGGATCCACAATACTAAGGCCTCTTTGGGATTGTCAGCAGATGGGACTCTCTTAACACAGAGTCTTAAGAGCCAGATATCTAATTATCATTGAAATGACACAGCATGAAATCTCTACACTGGATGGATCCCTTCAAATTATGGCTAGATGTAAATCAAATCCATTGTAGTTAATGAAAACATAAGAAGTCGTCTCGAATTGAATCAACCTCATCAATGCTAAAGAACAATGCAACATTGACCAAAATGGGGCTACATTAAAGAGTGCAGCCACAAAATAAAACTAGGCAAGATGATTCAAGAGCTACTTACAATCTCTTGAATTTGTTTTTGCTGACACATGTAAAACCCAGCATTGTAAGAATATGAGCAGAAGATAGACCTGAATTCTGTGATTCATGACTAAATTTTAGAAAGAAATTGACAATGGTAACCAATTCAATAACCCGGGCACCCCAATTATCAGAATCATTCAATTTTAAAATATACAAGTAGTTTCCATAGAATTAAATTAAATTAAATTAAATTACTGGGTGTCAATTCATTTGCAGAAAAATTAATGTGATAAACAAATAGACTAATGAGCGTCAATTCATTTGCAGAAAAATTAATGTGAAGAACAAATAAACTTGTAGAAGATGCAGTTTATAAAATTCGAAGAAAATGGCATAACCCAATTAATTAATACAGTAATCTGGGTCACATTCATCATTTGAAGCATTCAAATTAAGAAATGATTTCCACTAATAATTAGAAAAACTGAAATTTTACCAGTAGAGAAAGTGGCAGAGACATTCTTTTGACGTCCACTCCCATTGTTGATCAAATCTCACTGTCTCAGTCTTCAACTTCATTCTATGTGCGGGCATTCACGTACGGGTGAAATGTTACAATTTGGATTTTGGACACTCTCTCCGCCTTTGGGCTCTCATTACTTCTCATTGTGGTTGGAAATGGAAAATAATCAAATATTGGCCCATGTATTAGGGTTAATTAATATGTATTATAAAGTTTTCGGGAGGAAGTACAAATGGAGTGTTGTGAGACAAATGTAAATGTCTCACAACCATTAAAATAACATAAAAGTAAAAAGAAAAGAGAGAAAGGAGGAGAGAGATACCAAGAGTGAAAAAAAGTGGTGTGGGCCCCACTAAAAAATTTCAGAAATGATTTCATGTGCAAAAACGACAAAAAAAATTGAGACTACAACTACTAAGAGTATATTTTGTACCACTGACGATTTTTATAAGTACCACTAAAACCTCATTGAGTATCAATGTATTTTGTACCATTGAGCTCTAATTGTATTATTTGACCGTCTAATTAGACATTTGAACCTTTTTTTAAATACCACTAAAATATATTTTGTACCACTGAGAGTGTATTTTGTATCATTGAATCTAAAAGAGCATAATTTAAATCCCGCATGAAATGACCAATTTACCCTTGCGAGACTTCTACATCTCTCTCAACCCTCCGTTTATATAACCTCAGTTTTCGGACCTGACCAGACCGACCCTTTCAATTGTCAGTTACTTTTGGTTTTAAGGCTAATTGAATTATGTACTAATTATCTCTATCGGACACATTTTTCAGTTCTTAGAGAATATAGTCTCGTTTACAAGTTACGGAGAAATCACAACTTAAGAATATTCCCATAAAATATCTCGTTTGATTGTTGGAAATTTGCTTCTATTAATCTGTTCTTTGTTAAAGATGCCAAAATTATCCGTATAGTAATTTGACTTAATCATGAATAAGGGCCAAATGAGGAACATTCAAGTATCCTATAGATCAACACATTATGTTATGATTTTTCTTTCATTCTAATTGCTAATTATATGGAGGTATCTTAACAAATTACATTTTCTTATTGTTCCTAATTATTTTATAATACTCCATTTATACTTCACCAAAAAATAAAACTCCATTCATAATTTCACCCTCCTGAAATTTGTGTTATAAATAAAATTTTGTTATAATTCACTAAAATTTGCTTCTGTTAAAGTGTTAATTCGCACAAAGTACTCATGTCTCATGCTACGCATTACAAATAAATGAATAATCAATTTTAATGAAATTAGAAATTCAACTAATATCATCCATTTATCCCTAATACTCCACTGAGCATCAATCCCAAATTGGGACCTTATTTTTGAGGCCTGCCTAACATTTTTACTCCTTTCAAGTTTCAGGCCAGGTGTTGTACAAGTGCTTAATACGTTAATGACTTAATAATACTGTTTTATCCATTCACCAAAATAAACCATGCACCATTTTTTCATAAGATTTAAAAACATTAAAGTAAAAAATGTCATGCATGCCATAAATATACTGTAAACTTAACCCAGATTTGATTATATTCACAAAACATGATGATAACATCATTTCATTTTCATGGCATCCAACTCTTGGCATCTAGCCTTCTTTCATTAGATCACTACTACATATACTATATTACTTAATACTACTACCACTCTCTCTCTTCATCATAATAAAACCTAAAAAGAAAAACCCAGAACATTAAACATCATAAAACGAACCCAGAAAATCAAACGAACCAAAACTTGATCTGAAATTTCAAGCAGCAGAAATCTGAATAGACTTAGCAGGCTTCTTAGGAAGTTGAACCTTGGGAAAAGTAACAGTAAGAACACCATCCACCATAGTAGCATGGATATCATCAGCCTTAGCATTCTCAGGGAGCTTGAAACGACGACAGAACTTTCCAGACCTTATCTCAGCAAAGATCCACTTGTCACCCTCTTGTTCATTCTGCTTCTTCTTCTCTTTCTCTTTCTCTTTCTCTTTCTCCTTCTCGCCGGAGATGACAAGCACGTTATGACCACCTTCATCGTCCAAATCAATCTTAACTTCCTCCTTGTTCATCCCAGGAAGCTCGACCTTGAGGACATGAGAGTCAGAGGTCTCCTTCCAGTCCACCGCCACCTGGAAGTTTCCAGAAGAAAGGGCCATGATTCCCAAGGAAGACAAGAGTGAGCTGAGTGAGCTCGTCTCAATGGGAGACGAAGAAGAAGAAGAAGACGACGACGCCTTCTTCTTCTTCTTGGAGAGAGAGTCGTCAGAGCTCATGGACACAGGAATGTGGATGGGAAGGACTTCGGGGAAAAGACTGGAGTTAGGGCTGAGATGAACGGAAAAAGCTTGGGTCGCCATTTTTGGAGGTTTGGAATTGCAGGAAGGGTAGAAATGGAAGAAAATTCTAGAAGAGTGTAGTAGTAGTACTGTGTTTGAGAGTTAGGGTGAAAAGGGAGAGAGGGAGGGGGTCTTATTTATAGGATAAGGATGGTAGGTTTTTAGGGTTTGGCTTGGACAGCAAGCTAAACGAGAAAGTTGTACTCACTCACTACTGAAATTTCAGTAAGGAAATGCACATTTATTTGGGCTTTTGGGGTAGCTAGCTACTTGGATAAATAACAGAATTATGTTTGTTGATTATTGAGTGTTTAACTTAATTAAAACCACTAATACGGACTATAAGGTATGAGTTGTGTGTGTAAAAAAAAAAGGTATGAGTTGTGGCTAATTATTTTGAAAATCTTTAACATTATCATATTATAATATATAATAAATTAATAATAATACGAAAATATACTTGTAAAAGAAATAAAAATTAATACGACAATATAATACTCTATAATAATGTATTGTGAAAACGAAATGGTGTACTTGTACATTTTTTTAGGGCTAATGGTTTATTTTATTGGAATAAAAATTTTTGTGATATGATGAATTAGTGTACATAATACGATAATCATCTCAAAACTTGCTATACCCAAAAATATAGAACTGTTTTTAAGATATATATATCGTTGGTTTTTTTTTCCTTCTCTATAGGCTATATATAATCATTTATTAATTATCACAACAACGTAGTTCTCCTTAAATAGGAAGGAATTAACTATTAAAAAAAAGTGTTTCAAAAAAAAAAAAACTATTAAAAAAAAGTAACAATAAATTATAATACACGACAACATAACCCAAAACATTATCTAAGTAAGTTGACTAGTTATACTTGTATCATACTTTTTTATTTATGGATGCCACAATTAAACCTTAGCACAATGCACATTTGGATGTCATTAAGGTATATTAGGTAGTAATGTAGTATGATCTATGATGATAAAATACTATTATGGAGTACGGAGTAGTATATATATTTCATATTAATTGGAAAATTCGTGTAGTCATATGATTATCATTAGCGATTTGTGAGACTATATATTATATTATAATCATAATGGACATGAGCACCTTAACATTGATCATTAATTAATAACAAGGATAAAATTATAATTATAATGGACTAATTACTAACACCAAGGATAAAATCATAAAGTTAAAGACTATCGAGATAGGAATAGCTAATATTGTGACCTGTGAGGGCAGTAAAATGAAAGATTAGAATCAAATAAAGCAATATATTGAGATAGAAAGAGAAAGTAATGATTCAACGTCAAATTAAAACGTATGTGTGCAATGGTAGCTCTATGCCATGCATCCACTACACCTCAGGTTACTAACTTCTGATTTCTGACATCACAAAAAGACAAAATAAAATATTTGGCAGCTGTCCCTACTAAGAGATAAGAATTTACCCCCTACACATCAGCAGTACAGCACCAGTGCACCACCATATTAGCAATTTAGCATGCCTCCTTTGGTGGTGAGAAAATTTTTGGCCTCGTCTTCTAAATTAATTAACTCGATTATCCGACTTATAGAATAATTAAGCAGATCATACATAAACCTTAATAAATCGGATTTATTGATAAAAAAAATTGAACTCGATTGAAAGTTGAAAGTTAGGGTTCACGCATCTACATTTATAAACACAAATTTAGAGTAGTACAACTAATTTTATATACACCCCCAAATTTATACAACTACTCGTATATTATAAGACAATTAATCAAAATAATACACAGTAAGAAATTAAATTGGATGATTATAATTACTCCATGATAAAAGACTACCAAGCAAATTTTGGTTGTATAAAAAAGTGCCGAACCCATAATGACTTTTTAGCCAAAAAATTGGTTCGAGTATTGTTGAACCTCACGCTTGTATTTCAATTAAACACCTTTACTTGTAGCATTTTCATTACTTTTCTCAATTTTTTGAACATTTTCCTTTCATTAAACAAGAAGTTTAACCCCCTATCCCTTTTTTGTTTCCCTTATGTATTTGTGTGATCTAATTCAGACATATTGGTGAAATATTTTCAGATCTTTTTAAATCTCACCCGATTATAATCAATGTTAATTTGTTAATTCTAATTTTTTTTTTAAAGGATTTTTCATTGTTTCCTCTTTTGAAAAATGCAAAAAACTTGTAAAAACTGGTTTAGTAATAGATCTTTTTGTTTTTTGTTGAGAAAATTCTCGTTTCCTATCAAAGCAATTAAAAGTTAAAATTCTAACATGCAATACACAAGGAGCTAGGTGAAAATAATTAAGCAAAATCAAATTCCAGTCATTGTTTTACCAACTGTACTCAAGAGAAACATTCAACTTGGTGACTAAAACTTTATAGCAACTTCAAAAGCTAGGCAAAATCATATCATCCAATTTTAAAACATACTTGTCCAAATATATACCAGTACATAATTAAACCATAATAGTAGTAGTATTGATATAGCAACATGATATTATAATGTTTGATGCCATAAACTTCACCAAAACTAAAACAGTTTTCATACTTCTACAGAAATTAGGTTTAAACCAGAGTATTAGTAGTAGTGTCCTCTAGTAAAACTTCATTACTATTATGCTAAAAACTCAACCAAAGTCGCAGCAACCATTGCCCTTCTTCATTCAAGTGACCCGATTGGCTCCCTTTGCTAAGAAAACCTTCTTAGCCCTCAGCTGTAACATAAATTTAATACACATACCATTAGAATTAATCGATTACATGAAAATAAAACAAATAATTCGCATAATAATTATGAACATTAGTGATACTATTTTTGTACCTCATTGGAGTGTCCACACTTCTTCTTGCGACAGTTTGTAGCCCTCAATGGCAGACGAGCATAGCACCTGAAAAATTATCATTCAACAAATTAAATGCAATTTGCTCATATTATAAAAGAGATTGAATTAATAAAATTATTGAGGATAGATTTGATGCATACTTGCGGCAAATCTTCTTGTCTTGATTATACTGACGAGCCAACACCACCATACTCGGGTTGAATTTGTGGAAGTTTCCGTAGCCTCCTCCCCTCAACCTCAGCAGCAAGTGAAGTGTTGATTCTACATTTTTGTTTATTAAAAATCAACATCATTAATCATTATCAACCACCACAACAACAATACGATTATTTGTAACAGAGAAGTCAGAGATTTCACAGATAAGACAGAACAACAATTTTGATAGATTGAATAAAAATTGTGTTAACAATCAGCACTGATAACTAGAGGTAGCAACTTATTTTTTTGTAAAATAGCCAACAACAATTTGCGATTAAATCCAGAAAACGGTGAAACTTTAAAGTTGCTTCAAAAATATCAACAGAAACTGGATTTCAAAACTACATAGGAAAACAGAGGATTTCAAGATTTTTTTTGAAGAAAAAGCCATTTACAAAATGTAAAACAAACAAAACAGAGATATACTAAACAAATGCGACTATAAAAATTTATTATGAAAACAAGATAAAAAAATAAAACAGAGTAGAAATAAAGCATCAACTACAAATATGAAGAAGTTTGAAGTTTCAGGAATATGAGAAATGGCGACATGGCATTAAAACAGAGTAAGAAGAGCACAACAATAGTAGATGCAGAAATCATCCAAAAAATAACAAAATGACGCATAAATAAGTACATTATCATCATCAACGCCACAAAAAGTAAGGACGAACTGTATTCTGGAAAGAGAGAAAAACAGGGTAAAAGAGGAGGTAAACCTTTGAGAATGTTGTAGTCAGCAATAGTACGGTCATCTTGAAGCTGTTTCCCACCGAAAATCAGGCGCTGCTGCTCTGGAATTATTCCTTCAAAAACAAACACAAAATATGCAAAGATTAAAACACATTATTGTGAAAACTGAAAATCGACGTAAATTCTTAAAAAACAGAGTGAAATCAGTAGGAGTAAAACTTCAAAAATAACAAATGAAAACTCATAATTTCAAGTAAAATACAAGTTGTAATCTCTAAAAACACTATGAAATCAGCCAAAAAAAAATAGAAAAAAAGAATTAAAATCAGTAATAGCTTCAAAAAAGAAGATGTGAAACCTTGTTTAAGGTGGATCTTGGACTTGAGAGTGGTAATGGAGTCGCTGGGTTCGACCTCAAGGGTGGTAGTATTACCAGTGAGTGTTTTCGCAAATATCTGCATTTTTGAAGAAACTTTGTAGTGAAATTATGGAAACTGTGAGTTTTAGAGGGAGTGATAAATGGGTTGTACTGTATTTATAGTGAAGATCCCTAGGTTTTTGCCTTTCTGGATGAAAGGAGGGGTAATGACACGTTGACACCTGTCCAAAATTTTTGTTGATTGGCTGATGAAATAAAAATTTAAATGTGGAAAATAAAATGAGGTAAAACCTCTCCCCAAGTCATTTGTTTTTGTAATTTCCCCCCATTTTTTTTTTTTTTATATTTCTATCAAGTTATTTTTTGGTTTTGTAAGGGTATTGTGGTCTTTTACATTAACCATAATCTCATATACTTGTAGTAAAATTATTTTTTGAAAGCAATTTTCTAAAAATGAATTATGTGGTATTAAAATTCATGTATTTGGTGATGTTTTTTATTTTTTTTTCAAAAAAAAAAAAAATCATGTATTTGGTGATGTTTCAGGGGTGGTAAAAATAGGTAAATGGACAAATGTGTTCGGAGACGAGTCGATTTGCATGCCATTTACATTGCTTGGGCTTGGCACGGCACGGCACGGCTTGGCTTTTGGCTCGTTCCTGGCTTTTGGCTAATGAGGCCATCATCACCCAGTGCTTACAGACCTTATCTGAGTTGATTTTGTCTAAAATATGTTCTTTCAAACTGAATGGGAAATCACCCTTCAAAAAAAAAAAAAAAAAAAAAAAACTAAATGTTCTTTATTGTGTATGCATATGTATATATGTACAAGTAAAATAGTAGCACCTCATTTTATATACACAATAATAACCTATCAATATTAAAAAAAAAAAAAAAAAAAATGTAGTCAGAGAAGTCTAGTACACTCCAATACAAAGATCAATCAGAGTGGAGCAGTCAACAGATAGAATTTGTGACAGAATTCTCTGACTCTCTCATTTTATAAAAGGGCTGCTCATCCTGCTGTCCATGGATCCATAGCTGTTATAAGGATAACCACTATCTCTCGTTACATCGAAGCTAGCAGAGGTGGTAGATGATTCAACATCGTAGTACATATTACTTGCTTCAATTATACTCTCGATCTCTTTCACCACTTCATTCATTGAAGGTCGCTCATCCCCTGTGTCTTGAAGACACTTCATAGCCAGATTCACAAATTCATCTGTCTCAATAAGAATGTCTGAACGAAGGGCAGGGTCCACAAGGTTGTAAACGTTCCCCGTTTCCTTCAATGAATCCCTTACTACTCTCACAATGTATGTGTGTCTCTCCAGTGGCAACTTTCCAGTGACCAGCTCCAGCATCACCACTCCAAAACTATAGACATCACTCTTCTCAGTTAATATTTGAGTCATATAGTATTCAGGATCCAAATAACCCTGCATGGCATTATATCAAATGATCAAAACCACTGGTGAAACATATACACGATTGTAATTCACTCCTAACCCATCTTTCCTCTCTCGTCCATCTCATAATATAACAAAGATAATTGCATAGGCATCAAGGACTAACCAATGTTCCTTTAACTTGGGTGGCCACCTGACCCTTATCATCACTGAAAGGTATTGACAGACCAAAATCTGCCACTTTTGCATTCAAGTGATCAGTCAGCAATATATTATCTGATTTAATGTCCCTGTGTATGATGGGTGGGTCAGCAAGCTCATGCAAGTATGCCAGACCTCTAGCTGCACCAAGGGCAATATTTAGCCTCCGTGTCCAATCCAATCGAACTCCAGATTTCCCTGCAATTGGATCACAGGATTTTAAAGCTTCACCCAGGATAATATAAAGGCACGCATCAGTGTCTTATAATAGTACTCGGAAATCAGAATGACTGTTCATAACATTCGAAGGCTAACAATTTATAATTAAGTGATTGAGTACTAAATTGGTTGGGATGAAGGTTCATACTTCATATATGTAACAAAAATATACTTTTGTTGTTTAATTTAGGATTAGCATTATACATAGTCATACACAACTATTTGGAGTTTATCTGTCTTAGGTAAAGTGAAATTGTACCTGACAGAGCTGCCCTCAGGCTCCCATTCGGAACATATTCATAAATCAGCATCTGTTCACCCTTATCATAACAGAAGCCAGCTAGATTGACAACATTCTTGTGGTGAACCCTTGATAAGAGTTCAATCTCGGTTTTGAACTCCAATGCCCCCTGCATTGATCCCTTCTGAGCTCTTTTGATCGCTACTACTTCTCCAGTGATGAGTTTCCCCTTGTAAACCTGCCCAAAGTCAAATATCAATTATTCTATCTAGAAAGTTTCAAATTGATACATATCAACAAAATAAAGGAAAAATGCTTGATCAAGAAAATGTAGAAACCTCTTCCCAAAAGAACAAAAATTTATTGAATCATTTGAGATTCTACTGGCGTTATGCTAATAAGTAGTACTAGAGTACTTGCAGGTGGCAAGATGTTCAAGGTTCTATTTCCTATGCTTCGGGTTGTATCCTTAATCCATAGAGGAATAGAAGTTCTCAGATTGCCAGAGTATCAATTGGTGCGGTCTAACCAATTTATACGTCCATTATAAAGTATCCCATTTATTTTTTTTAAATATGTTGTAAGACTTCATTAGTTCAGATCTTATGCCTAAGATTTCAAAATTACAATGCAAAAGGAGATACAACAAGATATCAACTCTTGAAGCCGTGTGAAAAGACTATATTCTTCCTTTTGAGATAGTATTATAGGTTCGATAATTGTTACAAGAAATCTATGAATTCCTAATAGATAGACATTCTCAATGCTGTGAATAAAAAACCTAATGCACCAGTACAACACAAACACATAGTCATTTTCATCACGAGCTATGCCAGTCCATATGAGGATTTTCTGAAATAGATGAAGGTGACAATTCTCAAGACAGCCAAAAACTAAAAGAAATGGGAGATGGCAAAACTCACCTTCCCGTAACCCCCAACTCCAATCTCGCTTTCAGAAGAAAAATCACTGGTGCATTGTCTAACATCTTCAAATGAGAACCATCTGGCTCCCTTCACTTGAGGAATGTTACCTTTCTTCCAGGATACTGCGTTTACATAAAGAAGCAAGATTTATTAATTCAAACACATGAATGCAAAAAAAAAAAAGAAAAAGAAAAAAAGACACAGGGATTAATCTTACAGAAAGGATTGTTTAATTTAGCAGCTCTCTGGGCTATTTTCATTTGGCGATAGGCATAAACTCCAGCAGCAATTGTTAGCACCAAAAGCACAAAGCCACCAACTGTTACTCCTATAATAAGAGCAGTGTTCTTGGTTCGTCCTGCAGAATTTTTGTTTGAGCAAAGAAACTAAAATTCTAAAAGAATATCCTACAAAAAATAAAAAAATAAAAATTACCTGGAAAGTTATAACCCTTATCAATATAGTAATATGGTCCATATGGCGAATCAAAAACATGATTATTAAGGGCATTCCCAACTAAAGAAATTCCTGTTCGATTGAAGTAATTTTTACCAGGAGGAAAGAATGATATATTCAATACAAGGTACCCATTTGTATCTATCATTGAGCTCACTAAACACACTCTATCTATTGAAACTTGGGGTGAAAGAAGAGGTTGCAAAGTGTCGTTTAGAAAGTCATAGTAGCGCATGTTTGCCAGATCAGAAAAGTTAAATGATTTGAATACCAGGTTACCAAGGTAAGGACGTTTGCAATCAGATGGAATTATTGGGTCTGAAAAACAAGTTGGAGGGGCACATTTAAGTAGTGGTATAAAGTTTAAATATTTTGAAGGCTGAACAGTAGTGCAGTTTCCTTCAGCTTCTGGCCTCAGACAAAAAGGATTTTCATCAAGCCTGGAGAAATTGTACAATGTTCAATTAAATCTTAAGACAAAAAAGATAGTACTCTGTAATGTTTATCATGTAACAAAATTATCAGAATTCTAAGGTAAAAGGGAATCATATAAGGATGGAAGGAGTAGAGATAAAACACTTACAGAATGCTCTTGTTGTATATTCCAGAACTAAAGCCATCAATGGAATTATTCCGCAAATCCAAAAGGCGGAGATTCATGCTGACATTAGCTGGAATTTCTACAGTGCCATTTAGCTGGTTGTTATTTAGCACCCTATGGTCCAATATGAAAGTTCATAAGCCAAATTAATTTAAGAGGACAATAAAACAAAGTAATTTTAGAAAATGAGAAAAACCAAAAGAAGAAAGAAAAGGAAAGGAAAAGGGAAATCGTACACAGTCTGTATTTGAGGTAAGCTGAACAGTGTTGTCGATATATTCCCTTCAAGACTAGTGTTTGCCATCACTCTGCAAATTCATAGCCGATAGATTAGTAATGCAGGGAAAACTGACAATTTGCCTACGAAAATGTAGATGTGTTGCCAATTATTGTACTGATCTTGCATCCATGGTCACAACATCCTTGAAGATACCATCAATGATGCAGGACGAAACAAGGGTCCACCAATCAATACTCAAAATCAAAGTGAATTCTTTGTATTGCAAAATCTAGAAAAGAAATGTGATTGAGTCTCCTGAGTACTATTAAACTGCCATTGCTTTGTATCTAAAGACCTTAGAATCCTCAAATCTGATTGTAACTCTCATGGCCTTAAAATGAAGAAATATGTATCCCATTCAAAATGATTGATTACAAAAGGAGCCAAAAGACAAGAAGATTATTCAGTCTTTTGAAGGAAAATACAGCTTTTTCTTTGCTGCTTCAAGGCCTTCATATTGCTGAAAAGTTCTCATTTTTAATGAATAAGAAACACCATGATATATAAGAAACACCTTCTCTAATAGGAACACGCATATTCCCGTCACCATAAATCAGAATTTTTCTCAGCTTTTAGCAATGACGATTCTAGCATCATTCGTCTCTATAAATCAGAATTTTACCCATACCATACCTAGTGCATCTGATACTGCTCGTGCTCAAGATTGGTGCAGGTTCAATTCTACATAACTTTACGAGCTCCAATGCTAAGGGTGTGTTTGCAACTAGGCCCTCGGTGGCAAGGTATGTATATATTGGTCAGTTCATTCACAAGAATTGAGAAACTAAGGATAGGTCATTAACATGATCGATTTAGACAGCAGTAATTCAAAGCTAAAAAGTTTTCTCTCCAGTAATATAATTTAATTGGGCAAAGATATACGATCATGATGCACCCTAATACCCATTCATATGGTCATTCCTTATGTATCCTTAACATCAAAATGATCCCAATATATCTACTAAAGTTTTGCCTTCTAATGGTAGGGAAGAGGGGGGAGGGGGATGACTATATGGTATAATCACTTTTGGTTGATGTTGCCGACCCCACTTATGGGATTAAGGCTTTGATTGATTGATTAAATGGTACGGAAGAGAGGGTCAGATGAAAGTTAGAAGTTAGTACTACCCAATTAAGATACAAGTATGAGTTTTGTGTTTTCAGCATTTATAAAACCTACTTACACCCATTATTTCTACCTGTGTAAACATGTCTTGCTAATTAATGTGTTTTACCATTGTTTCCACTTGGTTAACTTATAATTATACTACCTTTGTTTCTTATTATGTGCAACAAAGAGACATAAAATATTATAT